AAAATTTTTTGCTATTTAAGTGAAATATTACTAATAATGAAATATTCTGAGTTGATTGAGTCTCCAAAACACATTTTATGAGAAAATTTCCTTGAAATAGGACTTTACCATGAATATTAGTTGACAGAATAAGCCATACTTAGAGTTTTGGGGAGCTTTTTCTCCTTTTTTCTTATATTCTGCTATACTAGCAAATTTTTCCTAAGAAATTCTTTAATAAATATATAGTTTTAAGTAAATGAAATTATTTTTAAAGCAGTTACAACAAATTATTCACCAAAAGAGAAGCTTTTAATGTCCCTCTCTGGAACGCGGCGTAAATTTAAGTTTTACGTAAGGACTTATGGAAACCTCCTTGGAGACAGTAAACTTTTATACGGATAGTTCATTCAGCTTGAATACTTCAATTAATCATTTATTATAACATTACTATCATAAATGAGTGAAAGTTATCCCAAAATGTTTATTTATTGGCCTATAAAGTAGAAATTTTGAGGAAAAGAGAGGTATAAATGGACCAAAAGATACATTATAAAGAAGACAAAGAGGTCCATTAGTAGAATTATCATCCTAAAGTCATCTTTTGTATCATATGCAACTGTTTGTAGGCAGATAAGATAAATATTTGATCATTTATTGGTCCACACTATATTCTATCATGATGCGGCTTGGTTTGGATTTTTCGAAGAAATTTAGCTCGAATCGCTGTAGATGTCGTCTTACATTATACTAGATTTTTCTCAAACTATTGAACTGATTATGACAAAACTTGACAGGAATGCTTGAAATAACCAGTATTTCAAAGGAAAAAAAGTCACATTCAGTTTATTTAACAAAAAAGTCTTCTTTAGGTGTAATACCACCAAATCATAGTACGTCACATCCGGTTGCATACGAAAATAGGTCGAAAAAAAATATTCCCTTGAATTTGACAGTTGTAGGTAATTGATCCTACATTTCATTGCAGTAAAACATTTCTGGGTCATAAACATATATCTTGGGTATTTCAAAGCACCATTATTTTTTTATTTGGGGTTTCTATAGAATATTTTGGAAACTTGAGGTTACATGGTTACTAAAGCTTGTACACAGGTTAAAAAAGGGGGAAAATTTGATTGGTTAACTTCCAGTGATGGTTATTTTCTCATATGCAATGAAATGTTATGTGAAATTTTTTTCTATAGTACTGGACAGTATCAAACTTTACTCATGCCAATTATTTCTTGAAACAAAGATAATTTCTGCACAATTTTTTGAAAAGTGCAAATTTAACAAAGACTAATAGGGGAAAATCAATGATGGTATTACACCTAAAGGTTTCGATACATGTCGAATTACATGGGAGGTAAATAGTAACAGCCTTTGTGTGTACATAATCTGACTCTGCGCAATAGTATACTAGTCAACCAAAGAAACGATACAAGGCAATGTATTAAATTTTCCATATATAATGAAATTGGAACACTGTACCAAACGTAATAACTGTCCCATTGGTCTAACTTTTACAGAGTGCTTTTTTCTTATCAAAACCACTGATTTAAGACAAAAGACCGATTTTTTGTTTTTTTATTTTTGTTATTTTAAAAATAGTCTTTTTTGCCAAACAAATAATAATCTATATAAGAACTTAAAATTTTAAACTTAAACATGGTCTGCTTAAAATTTTGATTGCCGTCCATCCTTATTTCCATCTGGCTGTCCGTGTGTCTGTCTGTCTGTCTGTCCGGTCTTTGCAGCGCTCTCACATGTACAAATCTTGTCAGATTTTTACGAAACTAATACTTTAGGTTAATATAACATTATCTCAAACAAGTTATATATTGGTGGCCAATCGACTTTTTTAAGAGTTATACCCTTAAGAATATTAAATTTAACAGAACATAGGGGTAAAATGCAGTTTTAGCCTTATATCTCAAACACTAAAGCATTTAGAGCAAATCTGATGTAGGTAAAAATTAGGTCAAGTTCTATCAGTCCTAAAATTTTCAGATGAATCTAACAAGCCATTGTTGGGTTGGGTTGCTGCCACTAAATTGGTAATTATAAGGAAATTTTGCAGTTTTTGGTTATTATCTTGAATATTATTAATGACAAAGATAAACTGGTCTAACTTTTACAGAGTGCTTTTTTCTTATCAAAACCACTGATTTAAGACAAAAGACCGATTTTTTGTTTTTTTATTTTTGTTATTTTAAAAATAGTCTTTTTTGCCAAACAAATAATAATCTATATAAGAACTTAAAATTTTAAACTTAAACATGGTCTGCTTAAAATTTTGATTGCCGTCCATCCTTATTTCCATCTGGCTGTCCGTGTGTCTGTCTGTCTGTCTGTCCGGTCTTTGCAGCGCTCTCACATGTACAAATCTTGTCAGATTTTTACGAAACTAATACTTTAGGTTAATATAAGCAATATCTCAAACAAGTTATATATTGGTGGCCAATCGACTTTTTTAAGAGTTATACCCTTAAGAATATTAAATTTAACAGAACATAGGGGTAAAATGCAGTTTTAGCCTTATATCTCAAACACTAAAGCATTTAGAGCAAATCTGATGTAGGTAAAAATTAGGTCAAGTTCTATCAGTCCTAAAATTTTCAGATGAATCTAACAAGCCATTGTTGGGTTGGGTTGCTGCCACTAAATTGGTAATTATAAGGAAATTTTGCAGTTTTTGGTTATTATCTTGAATATTATTAATGACAAAGATAAACTGTAAACAGCAAAAAAGTTCAGCAAAGTAAGATCTTTAAATAAGTTTAATGACCAAAATTGTCAATTGACCCCTTAAGGAGTTATTGCCCTTTAAAGATTTTTTTCACAATTTGTTCATCTAGTTTGCTTACTTTAAAAAATTTCTCCTGAAACTGCTGAATCAATTTCAGCCAAACTTTATAAATTTTGTAATTCAAGAAACATAGCCACTATGGCTAAAATGGAACATAGGGGTAAAATGCATTTTTTTGCTTTTGAAGAAAATATGACAGATACAAAGAACATTCAAATGGAATTTTTAAGCCACTCATTGATATATATTGAAAAGCATAAATAATCATTAATGAAAGATTTAACCACAAAATTACAGGTGATCGATTCAGACTCTTGAGAGTTTCTTGTTTAGAGTTAAAATTTAAAGACAGTCTGAGACTAAGTTTTTTTGACATAGACTGAAATAAAACTTGGACAGAGGCTAATTTTTAAGACCATGAAATAGCATCTAAAAATTTCAATTTGCACAAAACAAGTGTATTTTATGTATTTAGGCTGTTTTCTGTTATTGGTTGGATTGTTGTCTCTTTGACACATTTCCCATTTCTGAAAAAAAATCTAATATCTAAAAATGGGGAAGGACGTACTATCATTGCCCTTACCCTTTGAAGAAATTTCATGCTTCAATGCTCAAAATGTTCAGAATTTAATACCATCTTTCTTTTAATTTTTGATAATTTTTTTTTTTTAAAAAGGGGGCTACCATGCCCAGAGAGAAAAGTTTCATTCTCTACCAACATATCTCTATCAATGGTATATTCTCATTTATAATTACTAAATTTGTGTCAGAAATGCACGTATAAATGGAATGATTTAGCTTTTTAAGTTCAAAATGTTTGATTATTTATCTGTTTGGCAATCTGAATTTTGGTGAACATTGACATTTTTTGACTAAAATTATTTTTTTAAAGAAAAAAACACACGACTTTCTTTTTATTTTATGAATATATAGAATGTTGTCTTTCAAAATTTGTCAATGAAATGTCATGGTATTGTTGGTCTTGGGAGATAAACAGATTTAAAATGTAGGAGTTTTTGAAATTTTTCATTTTCGAATTTTAACACATTTTTAAATGGTTGCTATGGAAACAAACTATTTGGTAAATTCTAAATTTTAACGTTTTTGAATAGTTTGGGGTTTTGTTTATTAACAATGTAAAAACCCTAATTGTTTTTATTGATTAACTTAATTTCCATGGGACTTTAAGTTCCCTTATTTAAAATTTTCAAAAGGCTCTTTTTTCACATATTAAGGCAAAATGTTGTTTTGATGGTTACCATGGCAACGGGCAATATACAGGGAAAATAAAGACATAATTTAACTTATATACCAAAGTTCTTATGATATAGGGCCAAAAAATTTACTTCTGTGACATGTCATGAATTTTACAAAGACAGGTACTTAATACATTTTAAGGGCAATAATGCCTAATAACTTGTCACGTACCATATGGAACAAACTTTTTTCCAGTTACGACAAGTCGCGACTTTCAATTTGTTCATGTTTTTGTCGATTTCTGTAACTGCATTTGAGTAGTAGCGATGAAAGAAAACAATGTCAAAATTTAAAACATGAACCTAAGCCTATTTATGGATTAATGATTTTAAATCAAAAGACCCTAAGTCTCGGTAACTGACGTTGAATGTGTAGTATCAACATATCATTTATGCCAAGCACAAACACGGATTTTTTATAACATGTTGCCGAATCCCCTTAGTCCGAATTTAGTAGATCATGTCGAGGAAGTAACAAGTATTTTTGGGAAAAAAAGATGTATAATATCTTTCACAGTTTCTGAGAAGTTGCGATGACAAGGAAACCGTATACGGAGATATACCTTTCAAATTGGAAAGAGAGTACAAAAAGCACAATAACTAAAAGATTGCCATGCGAAAAATTATCAATGGCCAAACTATATGTTCATGTTCGGTCTTCAACGAAAGCAGTAAATATCCATGTTTGACATAACAAACAAATTATTACTTTACAGTGCTATTGATATTTATTTGAAGTCTTTATATCTTCTAATAATGGGGAAGTTGCAAAATCATACGTGAAGGTCTAAATCATAATTCTTACAGACATTCAGCAAGTCAACAGATTCGTTGGAATGTATGATAACAAATTGTCAATCTCCATTGACAAGCAAGAACAAGTATTTAAAAATGTGTTAAACAGGGTAGGGCACCCGAAGTATGCAAATCGAGAAAACATATAACATTACATTTACCATAATTTGCATCTGTTGCTACATCCATGTGGTATGTGTTTTCAACTGTGGAGGAATCTGTAGCGAATAAAGAATAATTTGAATGTATAAACTTACTTTAAAATACCCTTTATATATAGGTTATCTGAGTTATTCTCTGATTATTAGAAAAATGTTAAAAAATGAATAGTACAAAAAATGTTAAAAAACAGTGGAACAATAAGATAAAACACATCATTTATTTATTCTGTATGAAAAAAGAAAAACATGAACAAAGGATATGCATCTATGACACAAAATCAACTCATGCACAGTAATAAATACACACAGCGCTGTAATTTCTGTTCTTCATCTCAAAGTCACATTGAGGCTTTCTACACGGAGCAAAACAAAATGTCACCTCATGGCAAGTGTATCTACAAATGACTAAAATTCCTTTCTAGATTATTTTTAACCTTTTTATCAAAGTTCCAGACTTTTTGCATTCTGATATTTTACAATCCAAAAAGTCGAAGACACCCGTTCTACATTCAATACGAAAGTCCATTTTTTTAAAACTATTGCTTCAGACATATATATTTAGAAATTACAAAATGGATCAAATTTAATGTAAGTTTGTATTAACATTTCCATAACTTAGAAATGCTATTCAAATATACATCGATGGCCGTGGCTTTGAAATGTTTTGTTTTAAGTTGTAACACCACTAATTCGGGCCCGGTCAGAAAACATATACCAGAAAGGGGGTACATATTTAACACAAAATAGTTACCCATGGGTGTAACTTTCAAAATATGTAGAATATTTAGGTAATTTTAGTATCAAATGAAAGCTGATTGACTGGTGATCATTGTAGAGCACGTTTTGACTTATTACTTTGAAATATAAAAAAAATTGCTGACATTTTAAAAAGAGGGTACATTTTTCCTGTTTGTCAGATCTGAAGTACCTGTTTTGGTACATCCAAAGTTCCGAGAACCAGTTCTTTCTTATATGCCATTACAGATATGTTGATTTTTTTTCCGTACAAGACACTTTAAGTGTTGTTTTGACATGCAATGATTGTCACTTTATTTGAATTTCAAACAAACGCGCTGTGCCTGCTTGAAATTGAGGAATTCAACATAGAAAGCAGTTTGTGTACTTCCTTAAGCGTTACTGATGAATACAAATCCAGATAAGCGTGCAAGATGCACAACACTTATAAAGTATTTTTTTCATGTAATAGTAGCTTTTATACCAGTTATGGCGTATTCATATATAACAGTCTTTTTTCACATACTGATTATTATTGTACCTTTCGTCAGTCCACTAATCAAAATAAAAAATAAATAAAAATGAATTCACTAATTTATTCAAACCCTACAACAATTGCAAGTGTCTATCAAAAAAGATATTAAGGGTTATATAATAGCATATCTAAATATGTAAACGAGAGGAGTAAGATACCAAAGGGACATTCAACAACAGGCAAACAATATTACAAAAAAAAACAACATAAAAAAACTGAGCAACACGAACCCCACCAAAAACGGGGGTGATCTCATGTGATACAGAAGGGTAAGCAGATCCTGCTGCACATGTGGCACCGTCGTAAGCTATTTTATTGAGAGTTAGTTGTTGCTGTCATATCACGAGACTTTTGTTTTTTTTTAAACTCAAATTTAAAAAGCTTTGCTTATTTAATGCCTGCATGCTTTACAGAGAGGCAAAATAAACCAAAAGACTTATAAACTCATAAGTTGAAAAAAATCTGACGCAAATTGACAAAGGCCAATAGAAAAACAACAGCATACAAAACTGACATAGAAAACCACAAACACTGAAAACTGGGGGTGATCTTCAAGGATAAGCAGAGCCTGCTCACACATTTGTTTTACGTTGATGTACAAAGTAACTACTTTGTAATGAATGACTTTACAATATAATGTTCGTGTGTTCTCAACATTCCCGAAGGCCCCATAAAGTGGCTCAATATACCGACTTAACTGTAAGGATTTGATCTTGAACTAAATGCAATTTCACATATGAATGAAATGAAATATCTCGTTGAAATTAATGTCTCCCATCTAAATGAGAATAATTAAAATTAACTGTCACTTCACTCAAAATATTACTAAAATGGTCTCACTTTGAACAGAGTCATACACAATACGGATTTATGTCGTCGCTTTGTTTAAAAAAAACTTTTGATGAGGCGAAATAGTCATGGACACGATTCTCCAGAATTTGTGTAAGTCGGATTGCCCTTATTTGTGTGAAATTAGATGCTTATCATGGACTACGTTCGTTCGTATAATTTCTGTGAAGGAACGTATAGCACAAGACCTATTTCTGACTGGAATGCATTGGACTGTTGTTTCGTATTGTCTTTTCCTAAATGAAATCCCTTTAATTGTCAGCTGCTATCATCAAATTTACAGACAAACCGTCATGTCGTAAAAGCGTGTGCGCAAGTACAGTAGGTAAGTTGTCCCGGTAGTATGTGTCCGTATTGGAGAAGCTATTTCAGGAACACCAAGCACATTCATTTTTATGCAGTTTTCGTCATTTATGCGTTCAAATATTTGAGTGTTTTTCAAATGGCTTAGTGACTCATTACATACCCCAAATTCAGAAATAGATACGACTTTTTCTCTTTGTGGTTAAACCGCTAGTTGTTTCGCTTGATCCTTTGTAATAAACGAGCGCTGAGCCCCTTCATCGAAATGTTTGTTTGCGTTTATACTAGTTTGAGCTTTCGAGGGCATTGTGGCTCTTGAAGTTTGGGTAGAATTTTGAATCTGTAGTGCAGTCATTTCTGATGCAGTTTTGGCTACACTTTACTGATATGATGAGGCGGATTTTTATCATAAGTATCATAATTCGGAGTACCAGAATACGAAGACTGAATTTTACGGTATTAATACTGGTGTGGCGTTTTCGTCCATTCTGCCTATACGCCCCATACTCGGTGGTTGCCAAGACAATTAAAACACGATTTCGTTCTGTTGCTAAAGGATTTCCAGGCGAGTTGTCTGGTTAATTACTTTCATATTTTCATGTAAGTTTGATTAGAATAAAAGGTATAAGTAATGCACACTACGATTCCTGACTCTGACCTAGTGATTCCTTAAATAAGCATTTCTGGCTTGTCATAAATCTGCGGCTGGAATGCACTGTGTTATCGGCTAACAGAGTTTGCATGCACGTGTGTGTGGTATTTTGAGTATTTCCGAATCGCTGATCATGTGATGCATCTATAGCTTTACTGTAAGTCAAAATTGTAAGTGCAAATTCCGAAACTGTAGTCAACGTAGTTGGACGTCTGTTTAAAAGGGATTACTATAAAATTGAGAAATGGGGAATGTGTCGAAGAGACAACAACCCGACCATAGAACAGACAACAGCCGAAGGCCACCAATGGGTCCTTAATGCAGCGAGAAACTCCCGCACCCGGAGGCGTCCTTCAGCTGGCCCCTAAACAAATATGTATACTAGTTCAGTGATAATGGACGTCATACTAAACTCCAAATTATACACAAGAAACTAAAATTAAAAAAGAAACAAGACTAACAAAGGCCAGAGGCTCCTGACTTGGGACAGGCGCAAAAATGCGGCGGGGTTAAACATGTTTTTTGAGATCTCAACCCCACCCCTATACCTCTAGCCAATGTAGAAAAAAACAAACGTACAACAGTACGCACAGTAAAACTCAATTTAAGAGAAGTCCGAGTCCGATGTCAGAATAGGAAACAAAAGAAAATAAACAAAATGACAATAATACATAGATAACAACAGACTACTAGCAGTTACTGACATGCCAGCTCCAGACCTCAATTAAACTGATTGAAAGATTATGTCTTCATCATATGAGTATCAGGCACAATCCCTCCTGTTAGGGGTTTATTATTATACCATAATAAAATATATGAGAAGAACACAACCCTTGTCATGCCAACAACTTGTTTTTAGAATAAATATGTTTAATTCCGATGCAAAGACCCTATAAGTGAATCAATATTAAAGCCAAAATATGCAATCTTTAATGATCTGACAACAGTATCGTAACTATATCCCTTCTTTATAAGTCTGTTTAAAGGTTTTGTTAGCTTTTGAGATGAATACTGACATTTTTGTGCTTTGTAAAGAATATCACCATAAAAGATTGGATGTGAAATACCCGAACGTATAAGATGTCTGCATGTTGAGTTACAAATGATGTCCTTATACCGATGATAAAATTTAGTAAATGTTTTGACTAGTTTATGATATCGAAAATCCTGGTGTAATAATTTTTCAGTAATACATAAATTTCTCTCGCTAAAATCTAATACTTTGTTACATACACGAGCGAATCGTACAAGTTGAGATATATAAACACCATAAGATGGTGACAAGGGAACGTCACCATCTAAAAATGGATAATCAACGATAGGAAATGAAAAATCATCTCTTTTATCATAAATTTTTGTATTAAGCTTCCCGGTAATGATATAGATATCAAGATCGAGGAAAGGACAGTGGTCATTGTTAGCATTAGCTTTCTAAAGTAAGTTCAACAGGATAAATTTCTTTAGTATACATACTGAAGTCATACCTGTGAATATGAATACCTGTGTCGTAAGATTTCAATAATTGCCAGTCAATAATGTTGCAGTCTAATTTTGAAAGTTATGACTCGGGCAACTTGTGAAGATATTAAATGCTCTTGGTTATACGAGCGTACATATGCTGCTATTTGCATGATGATGTTTGGTTTTTATTGAATCAAAACTCTGAGCTAAAGGGTTAAGTGACCTGTTTGTTAATGGAAGTAAATGGCTAGTACGTGTGGTATTGTTTTTGTTTAGAAATTTTATCGTCCGACAAATTCCTTTTCTAAAACGGTCAAACAATCATCTCTGTCGAATTTGTCGTGATATTTCACATTTTTAAATCTCCGCTTAAGCTTTGTTAGAGCACTCCTGTGTCTGACACGTGTTCCTTTTAATTGTGTGGACATTTTCCAGCAGTCACGGCACCATTATATTGTGAGGGAACAAAAGTTGTATTACGTTAGTCACATTGAGGTAATGAGTAACTACTACACACAACATTACGTTCCAATATTAGTTCCCTAAGTATTTTTATCAACGTGCGTACAACGTCTCCTTAAAGATTGTGTGTTTCTCAACAATCAACAAAAAAAAATCTAGAAGTAAATTCATATAAAAGAATATAATGAGAAAACATATTTACCATTTTTGCAAACAAACCATTCTAGTTTTATAGAGCAATTCTGCCAATGTAGATTTAAAATCTTTTCCCCTTTATCAGAAATGTTTGCTGATTGGCAAAATTTTGGTAAAGATGTCGCGTCAACTACAATGATAAAATACATTCCATATATAGGTATCATGTTTAGATGAAAGGAGAATGGTGATGTGCAAGCAAGCAAAATATACATATCTTGAAAATATGTACACAAAAATACACAGAGTTGATTTTTCACCAATCTAATTTCGTTATATGCCTATAGCTAATATTGTATTATTTGATTTTAAAACCTGCTAGTTAAAAAGATAACAGTCCACAGGAACATATTTCATCCTATCCGGACAAAACATTCCGCGTATTTTCCAAAAAGTATCAAATACCAATTACCAGCTCTGTGTAATGACTGATGTTGCCGCCAACCGAAACCATGTTATCGAGCAGTCGCTGCATATTAGCCACCAGAAAAGCACCAAGGCGGCAATAACAATATATAAATAAATATATATATATATATATATATACCATGACCATAGACCATGAATTACATTAGAAGGTACGGAACCGTTAAGGTTAAAAGTTTGATTCTAATAATGGAAATAATAGAAAAATGCAAAAAAAAAAAACAATAAAACAAATATAATTTGATGATAGACGTAATTGAACTACAAAAAAAATAAAAACAAAACACTTGAGCTAAATGATTTGTGATATTTTGCCAAAAGAAGGCAGGATATTTGTCCGAAGTCTCCAATTGACAAAGTAGATAACGAGTTATATTATTCAGTTAGTGTCACAAACGTTTAAAAATTAGAAACTCTTTGCGAATATAGTTGTTTGTTTAACATATCATGCATACAGCAGTCACTTTACGACGATCAAAACTGTATTCTTAAAAATACCTAATGTTCGTTCCACTTCTATTTTTTCTCTAAAAACATTTGTCCAGGCAGGTGAGGTTAGTTTTTTTCCTAACTGTTGACAGGCATTAGAATGCAATAATAGCTTGTCCTTAGTCCGACAGTTTTCAAAGGTTTGATTCTGTTGAAGACCCCAGGATTTCCCCGAAGTTGATTGCATTCCATCTTCTGAATTTAAATAATGATAAAAGTGGAATTTTATATAAAAATGAATATAAAAGTTCACAAACAGAAATACTCAAATAAGGTTCAGTATAAAAGTCATGTATATTAATATAGTATAAACAAAAACTCGTTTCAAGTACTAAAATAATTTTCTTATATGTAGTCCGTCTTTATAATAGTAATTCAATATTCTTAGTTCATATTATGTAGTCTAAAAACCGATATTTAAACACCGAAATATACATTTGACCTTGATCATATCCCATTTTTTCCCTTTACTTCACCTATTAGAATAAGATTTCCATACATGACTATTGGTCATAGAGGTCAACTCGACATGTTACAAAAATACTTGTTCGTACGATGATCGTGTCATGAATACATTCTTTTACTTCAAAAGACGTCGAGTCGTTACACAACAATGATATTCACAAACAATTAACAAAGAATGCTTCTAAAAGGTGTTCAACACTTTTAACAATTATTTATCAACCATAACATGTTGAGTATAACATTTTTAAATTTCGACCGGAAAACGTGATGCAGGTTAACATTAGTGATCTTTTTGCAAAATTCGAATTAATCAAATGCAATAAAAATGTACGATGTGGACAACAATGCAAACAAACGCATTGTGTCTCGAGTATCTATGAGGAGTTTTTTTTATCGAAATCTGATATAGTTGTGCCCTTTCCTCTGCAATACACGTATCTAAATAAAAATTATTTGAATATCATCTCTTTAGACTCGCACATCACATTTAAGCAGAACAACCATGCTTCCAAAGTATCGTTTGCTCTTTGATTTATTATGAGCATCAAACGGTGAAATTGACAATACGAATATTTTTCATTAAAGACCAACAAAAACGCACATTAAAATTCAGTTCAAGAGAAGTCCGAGTCTGATGTCAGAAGATGTAACCAAACAAAATAAACAATATGACAATAATACATAAATAACAACAAACTACTAGCAGTTAACTGACATGCCAGCTCCAGACTTCAATTAAACTGATTGAAAGATTATGTCTTCATCATATGAATATCAGGCACAATCCTTCCAGTTAGGGGTTTAGTATCATACCATCATAACATATATGAGAAGAACATAACCCGTGTCATGCCAACAACTGGTTTTTAAATAAATGTGTTTAGTGCCGATGCAAAGACCCTATAAGTGAATCAATATTAACGCCAAAATATGCAATCTTTAATGACCTGACAACAGTATCGTAACTATATCCCTTTTTAATAAGTCTATTTAAAGGTTTTGTTAGCTTCAGAGGTGAATACTGACATTTTTGTGCTTTATAAAGAATATTTCCATAAAAAATTGGATGTGAAATACTTGAACGTATAAGAAGTCTGCATGTTGAGCTATATTTACAAATGATGTCCTTATACCGATGATAAAATTTAGTAAATGTTTTGACTAGTTTGTGATATCGAAAACCCTGGTGTATTGATTTTTCAGTAATACATAAATTTCTCTCGTTAAAATCTAAAACATTGTTACATACACGAGCGAATCGTACAATTTGAGATATATAAACACCGTAAGATGGTGACAAGGGAACGTCACCATCTAAAAATGGATAATTAACGATAGGAAATGAAAAATCATCTCTTTTATCATATATTTTAGTATTAAGCTTTCCGTTAATGATATAGATATCAAAATCGAGGAAAGGGCAGTGGTCATTGTTAGTATTAGCTTTATTTAAAGTAAGTTCAAAAGGATAAATTTCTTTAGTATACATACTGAAGTCGTCATTATTGAGAGCCAAAATATCATCCAAATTTCTAAAAGTATTATTAAATTTGTGTATCAGATGTTGTTTCGATGGGTCTTTGCTGATTTTTTCATAAATTGTAACTCATAGCAATACAAAAAAAGGTCCGCAATAAGTGGTGCACAGTTAGTCCCCATTGGAATTCCGATAGATAGTACAGATAGAAATCCAAACACTGTCATATCAATACAGACATCAAACGCACAGTTAAAACTGTAAGCGAATAATTTATTAGATTCTTAGTGCTTCAGCTATACTAGAAACAAAGCGTCAAGTCTTTCAGAACCACAACGCCAAGTATGTCGAACACAATATCTTTATATGTAATAAACTATTGAAGTGTTAAGTGTTAACCTGAACATTTGTGATACATATGTCTTTGTCATGACACGTGTGTGAGGAGTATTTATATTGTGTACTAGCAATATCCTCAATAACCAAAAAACGTAAAATCAATCAGTCATTAATATTGATACACTAATAGTAATACATATATATTGAACACTGTTATTTGAGTATACAGAATTATGTAGCAATCGCATAGGATGAGAGACATGAACGTAAGACTTACCGCATAAACCTTGTATAGTGTCATCGCCTTTACAAACGGTTGCTTTCACATCAACAACATGGGGAGGAGTGCAAGTTAATGTCGTACAAAGTCCATTTTTGGCTCCATATGTAATTGTACCATTATAAACTAAAAAGAAATATTGACAAATACAGTGTAACATGTTAAATAAAACATTTTGACTTCACTGACGAATCAAACAGAATTATTTAGGATGATACAATGTAGTAGGTTGCAAGTAGTCTAACTTTTTACATTATGAAACGCCGTTTTCATCTTCATTTCTGATTTTGCAAAGCAATTCAGTAATCAATTTGTGATATTGATTGAAACGGTTGACGATCTAGACGGACCATGTACGGTACTCAGTAGTATAGAAGGGACAAATACTTAGTTGGTATGTTTGGATATTTTTACCCGTGTGTAAGAATCACTACCGGTCTTGAACACTACAGGATCCACATGATTATAATGATGGTTGAAATGATAACTTACCAGATGTAAACACTGGTTTTGTGTATTTTACTTTTGAAAAGTAAGCCAGTGCTAAAGCTTACTTACCCTGATATACTAATATTGTTTCAACTGTTGATTTTAGGCATGTCGAAAGGTTTGCAGCATTGGTGAACTGTATTTCGTTGTTGTTTAAGCAGGAACATGTACTGTCTTTTTTCTAAGAAGCAAACATAAGTGAATTTGAACTGTAATAACGCAGAATGATTTACATTTTTAGATATGCATGAGTAAATTGTGTATCTATAAACAATGAGAAAATTATTTCAAACAATCTGTTTTTTTCAAATTGTCTCCTTTTCCGTGATTGATTTTACCTCCAAACTGTTTTGATTGAAACGTCACTGATAAAATTAAGTCAAGCGCGAGTTGAATACTAAAGGATAAGTCTGGTATATCTGAAGACTTTTAACAACCATTAGTCTAATGCAATTGCTTCTGGACGTTTTTGTGCTAACATAAATATCACTAATGTTTGTGAATATACTGTTCATCGAATGACAAAATTCAAATCAAACAACAACAAAAATAATTGTATGTGTCATGTTTTTGACATATCATTTTGAAGTCCGTGCTAAGGACCGATGATTTTTTTTCTTTTTTGTAATACATTATTACATTTTGCTGACTGTAAAACTTCTGAGCTTGCAATTGCTTCCAAACGATTCGTCGCCTGAATTCGCTCAAAAAAATCATCGTATACATATTTTTAGAACACTATTTACTGAATGATTTTAAATGGTGAACAAATAATTTTACCAGAATATACAAACATATTGATTTATAATATTTACATTATAACTGAAATATCTAGTTGTTGAACATTCTCGTTGACACAATCCGACTGATGTCACGATTCGTTCAGTACTTGGTTTCTTTATCAGCGAAAAACAACCTAAAATATAAATGGTAAAAGTTCCTTTTGTTATTAAACTAACCTTTATTATAAAAATCATATCATACATTTTGTTGCAGAGTTTCACTATAATTCAAAATGGGTGATTTATACATATAATACTCACGAAGTACGTATCAGATTATTAGTATGCACATAATGTACTCATAACAATATGTGCGTACTCTCCAAGACGAAGAACCAAATTGTCAAATTCTTTAAATTCACTTTTAGATGTATTGATGATGTCCTGTCACTCAATTACCCATATTTCATTGAGTAATTGCATCTCGGGTATAGTACTTAGTTTGACATTCATAATATCAATACAATTTAAGGCTTATTTGTGGTTCTGTTTCTCGATATTGACACTGATGGAGAACTTTAAACTAGGATATAGTGTTAATGTGATGATATCAGTTTTCCCATTGTCAACTTCCTATTTCTCAGAAGCATCTGATCTATCGTATGTCGTTTATCATATCCTTTAATATATAACATGTGTCATAATATGGAATCAAAGAAAAGTTGAAATCAATTACTCAAACAGTTATTGAATGGATAATAAGAATTCAACTTTACTAATATAGGACAATGATGTTGATTAAAAATTACACCATTCCAATCAATTTTATTTTCCACACAAATAATAATTCCAATAATTAACAAGTTCCGGATATAATCCGATACCGATACCAATGGTATATGTCACATCATCATGTAGTTTCCGGTATTAGTATAGTAAAAAAAAAGGGCGGGAAAGATTTTAAAACAGAGAAAACCGTGGACCTTATAAACAGCATGACTTTATCATGAGACAATACGAATACTAAAAATCCAGGTTAAAGATAAGGTGCAGACACTTTAAGTTAGTGATGGACAAGCAGGTGTGTTCTAGTTAAACGTATTAATCATTCTTCGAAAATACATGCCGAATAAATGTAGTCCTGAATGATTGTATATAAAACAAAAAAGACGTGGTATGAGTGCCAATGAGACGATCTACAATAGACCAAATGACACAGAAATTAACAACTATAGTTAACCGTACGGCCTCTAACAACATAGTCAGCCATAAAAATGCCCCGAAATGCACATGTAAAACAATTCAAACGAGAAATCTATCGGCCTCATTTATTTACAAAATAATGAACTAAAAAAAATATGTTACACAGCAACAAATGACAACAACTGAATTACAGGCCCCTGCATTGGGACAGCCAAATACAGAATGTGACGGGGTTAGTATCCTTTGAAGGCGAAAACCCTCCTCTCAATCCGGGACAGTCGTGTTACAGTACAACATAAAAGCAAACAATAAAAATTAGTTGAAAAAGGCTTAACTCATCAGATAGATATAAATAGAAAAAAAAAAAACATCTAACAAAAAAAACAGAGTGGACGTGGACAGGTACTTATGCATCCAAGCAACAGAAAGACACAAGTACAGATCTGAGAGTAATCGTAGTTATAGACAGCTAGTTCAAAGCCAATAACAACAAATACAAAAAAATCATGCATTTAAGTCTATACAAATGTTTGTTTAAGTCCAGAAACATTCTGTGTTGATGAATGTTTATTTGTAGGTATAAAGAAATCAATTTAAAACCACACTTCGTGTACACAGAAAAGCAAATGGTGAATATCATCATCAATGTTAGATGCTGAATGCATGCACGCTGAAAAGGAAATGTTGTTCTGTTTAACTCCCTTCTTGTTATTCGTGTTAAAAGTGTCATTGAGTGATAATTCTTCAATTGTTATGACATCTGACTATAAATCAGTGGCCTATTTGGCTTTAAGACCATAAGGTTGACTTGAACATGTTGGAGTATCATGTCGTGCGAACATAAGGTTTGTAGTTGGTAGTCATTTACCATTTCAATGATTAAATGATATTGGTTATTCAGCCAGCGTAAAATACTACGGTCCATACACAATGAATTGGAAATTGGTCTTTTTAATCAGCAACCCATTTTATACTTTTAATAAAACCCTAATAACAATTAGGTATTAAAAAAGTAATGCGAATATGTTTTTAAAATAGAGAATTTTAAAATTTTAAAATAGTTTTTATATTTTTGAATTCTAAAATTGTTTTTAAATTTTTAAATTTTAAAATAGTTTTTATATTTTTGAATTCTAAAATTGTTTTTAAATTTTTAAATTTTAAAATAGTTTTTATATTTTTGAATTCTAAAATTGTTTTTAAATTATTTAAATTTAAAAAAGTTTTTAAAAATTTCAAAATTTCAAAATAGTTTTTAAATATAACAAATGATTTGATATCAGTAGGAGATGGGATTCGTTTAGCATATAGAAAAAGAGATGCGATTTAATTACCAATGAAAAAGCTAACCACCACATAAAAAAGGTCACAAAGTAGCGGTCTATAAGCAGTAACTGAAAGCTACTTTTAAGTCAAATACAAGTAATTAATACATGTTAGTATACCCCAGACAAAAGTATCATTCATTACATATCCAACATTTTTTTTTCAAATGTAAAGACGACCGAAACAAGACAAGAAAAGCCTACCCTTCTGCAATGCTACATAGAAGTAAAACGGATGCTGGCTAAATTTGTAAATTATGTTTTAATAAAGTAAAAACAAAATAAATGTTGATAATAAAAAGAAAAAGAAAAGAAAAATTAAAGATCGTTATCCATTAAATAACAGATAACCTAACGAAAAGTGTCACTTAACATGATTAAGATAATGCAAAACTGTCCTCCGGATACCACTGGATAATAAAACTTATCTTCATATTTTCCATCAAAGAAATTGCAGTAGACTATTGTCATATTGTTTCATCAAAAGTAGCAACACGAATATACATATCAAACAGTCCATAAATCAAATATATCAAGCTTATCTTGTCTTAATACTTTGAATTAGTAATTAAAAAAAATCACTACGATAGCTTACCCAGTATTTCTATCCAAGGAGTAAACTGTGTAAAAATACCAAGCCCTGTCCAAAATTCTTGGCCATACAAATCTGATCTTTTAGTCAAAACAAAAGGATGGTTTTCTAGACCAGCTGCTCCACACTTATCATTTGCATCTATCGATGTTACTCCATGTGGATATCTCTGTAGGTCCAGTGCATAACATACTTCTTTAGAAATTGAATGATACAGTTCAGATTAAAACATATTTAAGTCAATTACGGACTAGTATAGTTATACTGTTATTAAATAAGCCTACAAAACTTTGCAAAGAACAAGTACTTATTGCAAAATATTTTTTATTTTTTTTTAGGTATTACAATGACAAACATATATTAATGTAAAACTATTTTAAGTACGATATTTTTATTAAAATATAAAAGTGTAGGTTGTCTTGCTCAAGCTTTTACTTTAAATATTTTTCCATAGAATATGCAAAAGCAGGTTTAAATGGAAAAGTAGAAGTGTAACACTAAAAATTGAGAATGGAAATGGAAAACGTGTCAAAGAGACAACAACCCGGCCAAAGACCATAAAAACAAACCCCAGGACATCAATGGGTCTTCAACACAGCGAGAAAATTCGGCACCCGGAGGCGGAACTTAACCTTCTTACAAAAGAATGAATCATGGGGCGGGGTATATTTTTATGAGAAAGCAACTCAATTTACAACAACAAAGATTCATGAGAATTACAAACAGCCGTCACAATATACCAGACCATAGGTCAAGCAAAACGTTGAACAAATTCTATACAAATCTAGCCAAGTAACCAAAACAAGGTGTGAATTAAACAGAGATTGGCATCAATACCTATACCGTATTTGAAGAATTTGCTTTTCTAAGATAAGTACATAGACAAACATGTGTTTTGCAACAAACAAAATTATTCCCTTCCCATGATATTATCACAATTGGAGAAAAATGATGTTACTACAAACAGCTCAAGTATATCAATCGAAAAATGTAGACAGAAATACATTAAGAAGATAGAGTGTGCTTGCCGTTGAGCCACTGTGATGAAAACGATAAAAGACAAAACTATACAGCTAAGAAAAAGCCCATCAGCAATAAGTAAAAAGAATATGTTGTGTGCAATGAAAGTACTGGTAAAACAAAATGTTAAACATTTCAAACGAAAAACCGAATGGCTTGATTCATACTGCAACAATTAAGGAAAAATAGACAGCAATCAATAACAACAACATGGACTTTACCAGACAAGCACGCAATGTAAAGGGTCTTTAAATGTTTGTGAGCCCTCAACCCTTCACCAACGTTACCCTAGGAAATTTGGAAGGCTTAATCAAGTACAAAGCTAATAGCATTAAAAACCACCAACTCAAAGGATTGCGTCATATACAACTAAGGCAATATATGCCTTTGTGCAGTATACGCTTAGTATTTCGAATAACTTAACTTTTTAGTAAACTGTAAACTTAAAGAAAACCTATCAATACTATATATTGTCAACAGTTCTAAAGCCTTTTGATAAAAGCATCATGCTCTCCCTAGACTAGTGTATCAATCGGTACATCTCCAATGGATTGCCTTTGCAGTGCAAACATATAAGTGTCGACAATATGTTTGACCATTATAAGTGTTCAGTATGAAGATTTAAATATCATTTCGAGTTAAGCAAATAACTTAATTCGAAATAAAAAGTCAATTTCAATTCCACTAAAGGTAATATAAAAATATTACCAACAGCTAAACTTATATTTTTCAGAATGATGTCAGTAATAAGAACACAATTTAAACATCGTTTCTTAATTAAAGATATATAAACAACATCAACGTACACATTAGATCTAAGCTTGGATATCCCATTTGTTAAAAGATAAATACATCCACTGTCAAGCGGAAGCTACCTACAGAAGGACGGGTCTAGGCAAGTAATCAAAATGTATGCTCTTTGGCTATCTATAGGCATAGAATAAGAACACAAATAATAGCTGTTTCTCAATGTTAGTCTAAAATATTTCTACTAGTAAATATCTTTTTTATCAATTCACTTACTACGTATGGAGGTTATTATGGAGTTA